TTTGCAGCAGGATGCCTCATTGTGTGGCTGCTTATGCTGCCTGCTTACGGGTTGGCTTGGAGTCAGAGGTCAGGAGTCAGCTTAAGGTTGCTTCAGTTGCTCACGGCGACGCCCAATGCGTGCGCCGGTGGGAGGGAGTGTGTGTGCGCGCGCATTGTGGCTATGTGCGCATTGTGCGCATTGTGGCAGGCTTGCTGCTGCTGATGGTGGGAAGTGTGCTCTGTGTGTAGCGCTGCGCTGGCGTGCGGCGCGCGCGTGCTGTGCGCGTGTGCGAGTTGGATTCGCGTGTGCGTCTCGCTGGGGACGACACGCTGCGGAATCGGACCGAGCCCATGCACCGGGCAAAGAAGGACGCTGCAGAAGCGGTTGGAGAGGCAGCCGGCGTCTGCCGTCACAACGAGTCCCAGCGCTGGTTGGACATGCGCGTCGGCTCGCCCGAGGACTGCTGTCGCGACCCTCCCGTCGTGCCACAGCCTCCGACGAGCTCTGCAACCGAGGAGAGTGAGGGTGCGCCTCCCCTCACTGCTGGCCTGGCTGCGCACCGCCCCACAAAGCACCCCCTCGAGCATCTCTACAAGTACAAGTGCAAGGGCGACCTTCTCCAAGTCGTCAACGCGCCCGGCGGCTCCGGCAAGACTTTAGCCTTGGCCACCCTCCTTGCGGAGCAGGAGGAGATCCGCTCTCGGTCGGCAACGTGGCAGCTAGTCGAGGGACTCGGTAGTTGTGACCCCCCTGAGTGAGGAGACAGGAGAGAGAGAGCTTTTGTGGTGTTGGTGTACGCAATAACGGGACAGGGTAGTCGTTCTCTCTAGCTCCCCTTCTAGCTCTTAAGCATGAGCTGCGCCCTGTGTCCGACCCCTTTTGCGCAGCAACACCTTAAACTTTTAGGCCCTCCAAATTCGGGTCGGAGCGTAGCGGAGTGGGCCCCGAGTTTGAAAAGGGCGACGGACGCTTGCGTCCTAGCCTCCAACAACGCCTCCCCGGCGCAGAGAGAGGGGCCCCCGGAGGGATGCTCAACCGCTCCACGCCACGCCGCTTGCGGCGGTCCTATTCCCAGCTCCGCTGAGGGGGCACTTGGAGCACTTGGAGTGCAGTCGGCAACCTCAAAGAAAGAAAGAAAGAAAACAGACAAACCCAAACGAGGGATGGGGGAGGAGGACAGGGTCCACACCTGCACGAGCAGGATTTTGGAAGGACGATCAGGGGCACAGGTGGGGCTCTCCTGCTCCTGACAAGGGAACGCTTGGCGGGGGGCATATGCTGCCGAGCCGCGCGTCCACTGTGGGTTCCGCCTCCCTTGGGGTGCACATATTATTTTTTAAATAAATAAATAAAACGGTCACACCAAACAAGGGGTGGGAGAAGGACAGGGTCCCCACCTGCACGAGCAGGATCTTGTAAGGACGATCAGGGACAGCAGGCAAATTTTTTGCGGCCCCCCGGACTTGGCCGCGACACGAGCTAATGTGCTGTGCCGCGGATCCCGAGACGAGCTGCCTCCTCAACCTGCCCCAAGAGATTCTCCGCCTCATAACCTCGCTTTTTGCCGAGTGGACGCTGGACGAGCACGGGCGCTTGTCACAGCCCGCCGTGAGCCTCGTCTGCAAGGCACTGCAACGTGCCACTTGCCCGGAAGCTGGGGTGGTGCTGCGGCTCACCGGCCTGCGTCTCAGTCGCGACGAAGATCCTGGTGTGATGTGCTGGCGCCGCCTGCTCAAGCGAGTCGCAGCCCTACGTCCTGAGGTGCCTCCTCCAGCTCGCAGCCTTCGCCCCGTCTCCTACATAACCACGCGGCCCGTCTCTGCTGATGCGGAAGTTCTGCCCGCAGGCGCTCCTGATGGAGGATTGCAACGTGCGAGCTGCCGAGCTAGGCGCCGCCCTCCCTCTCTGTCTCCCGTTCTCGGCGCTCGCCCTCAATCGCTGCCATTCTGCGGGCGGCGCCGTCCGCGAGATGCTCGAGGCATGGGCAGCTGCCACCGCAACCGCCGCCGCCACCGCTGCTGCCACCGCCACCGCCGCCGCCGCCGCCGATCCGGTCCTCGCGACGGACGCCGCCGCCGCCGCCGCCGCCGATCCGGTCCTCGCGACGGACGCCCTTCTCGTGACTGGCGCCGTCGAGCCGATCCCGCCGACCGTCGACGTCGGCCTCTCACTTGGCCGCCTCTCGCTGCTGTGCCTCTGCAACAGCGTGCTGCGGCAGCGCTGGCTCAGGGAGGTGAGCGCCAGCCCTCACCGGCCTCGACCCTTTGGCCGCCCGCCCCGGGGCTGTGCCTTCACCCCCCCCCCCCCCCCTTCTCCTCCGCGCAGGGGCTTCCACAGCTGCCGCGGCTTCGCGCCCTATTCCTCGGCGGGGCGCTCGTGCTTCCAGAGAGTGGCGCCGAGGAGGGGCAGGGAGAGCAAGAGGCGCGGCCGCTCTCCTCCCTCCTCCCACTCTCCTCCCACCCGCCGCCCGCCGCATCCTCCTCCCGCCACTTCGCCTCCCGCCACCTGCGACTCGCCCACACCGCCCGCCACCTGCCACCTCTTCCGCCGACGGCGTCCCTACGCGCGCGGCTCACCCATACCCGCCTCCCACCCGCCTCCCACCCGCGCCCCTCCGCGCCCCACCCCCCCGAATCGCTCCGCCAGGCTGCCGCCGTGGCCGGCCCTGTGCGCCCTCCCGCACCGATTGAGCCGTCGGCATTCCTCGGCGGCGGCAGCAGCTCGCTCTCCCTGGTTGAGGCAACCTTTGCAGACCCGAGCCTTGCCGCCGCGCTGCTCGCCGCCGCGCCCGCCGCCAGCCTGGTCGACCTCAGCCGCGCGGGCAACAGCGCGCAGCTCGACGCCCTCTGCGAGACGGCGACACGGCTGGTGGGTGGGGGCGCCGCCGCCGCCGCCGCCGCCGCCGCTGCGGTACGAGGGGCGGCTTCGTGCCGTCTGGCTGGGCGAGGCCCGACGCCGCTGCACCGCGCCGCGATGAGCGGCGACGGCGAGATGTGCGCCGCGCTGCTGCGCGCGGGCGCGAGCGTCGCGACCAAGGAGCGAGATCACCAGAGATCACCAGAGAGCACCAGAGAGCACCAGAGAGCACCAGAGAGTACCCTAGATCACCCGAGAGAGTCCCCGGGATGTGAGTCGTGATCGAGGCGCGGAAACCCCACATCTCCCCACATCTCCCCACATCTCCCCACATCTCCCCACATCTCCCCACATCTCCCGAGCCCCTCCTGCAGGACGAAAGGGCACATCTCCCCACATCTCCCCACATCTCCCCACATCTCCCCACATCTCCCCGAGCCCCTCCTGCAGGACGAGAAAGGGCACACGCCGCTGCATCGCGCCGTGTGGGGAGGACACGTCGCAGTCACGGAGGCGCTCCTACGCGCTGCCGGCGGCGGCCCGGCGCCCCAGATGCGGAATAGAGACCCGGTAGCCCGGCTCGAGTCTCGGTTGTGTCCGGGCTGCACGCCGACGCACTCCACTGTATTCGTCGCCCTTGTGTTCACGCGGTGCTCCAAGGCCCGCTCTCGCCCTGTGTTTGCCCCAGGACCGAGATTGAATCCCGACGGCGTTTGAGGACTTGAGGCTGGCGCTCGCGTCGCGCGATTTAGGCGCTGCTCTCTCGGCCGTGCTGCTCGCCACAAACCACGGCATGGAGACGCCACTCTACCTCGCGTCGCTGCGCGGACAGCCCGAGTGCTGCGAGGCGCTGCTCTCCGCCGGCAGCGAGGCGCCACTCTCTCCGCATCCTCAGCGCTGCTCCCCGCACCTCTTTCCTTCCCCGCATCCCTCAGCGCTGCTCTCTCCGCACCTCTTTCCCCGCATCCCTCGGCGCGCGCTCCCCCCCCCCCCCCTCCCCCCCCCGCCCCCCCCGTTCGGTGCTCTTCCGCACCCCGCGACATCCACAGACGCCGAGGCAGTCGTGACTCGCCTCTTCACGGCATTCTCGCGATCGCGTTTCTTTTTTCGAAGGCGCTGTTCGCGACCGACCGGTACCACGACGGCTACACCCCTCTCCACGCCGCCACGATCGGTCGCTCCGAGGCGTGCGTGCGGCTGCTCCTTGCGCGCGGCTTTTGCGCGCAGGCGGGCACCTCGGCCGATCTCGGAGCCATTTGGGGGCTACCTCGGAGCCATCTCGGGCAATCTCGAGGCCCTTGCGCGCAGGTGGATGCGTCCAACAAGTACTCGCAGACGCCGCTGCATCTCGCGGCTCGGCTGGGCGTGCCGGCGGCCGCGGCGCTGCTCCTCGAGGCTGGCGACCAAGACACGTCACAAGACACTTCCGAGACACCTCCGAGCAACCGCAGACACGTCACAAGACACCCCGGAGACACCTTCGAGCAACGCTGGAGGAAGCTCTTTGGACGCTTCCGTGGCGTCTTGCCGCAGGCGGGCGCCTCCCTCCTCGTGCGCGACGAGCGCGGGCAGACGCCACTCCAGGTTGCGCGGGCGCGGGGCCACGCAACGGTGGTCGACGTGCTGCTCGCGGCGGCGGCCGCGGCCCGCCCGCAGCTGCCGTTGCCGCCGCCGCGCGCGCTCAACCCCCACGCGCAGGCGTTTGTCCCGGCCGGGCGGGTGGCAGAAGGCAGCGGCGGGGCTGCCACGCCGGCCAAGCAAGGGAGGCTGGCACGCGGGCGCGGGCGCGGGCGCGGGGCGGGCTGGGGGCGAGGCGGGCCTGCGGGGCGGCGTGGTCGCCGGCAGCCGCAGCCGGTTATGGGGTAACGATGGGCCGGCGATGTGCTGATTCTGCCCCTGCTGATTCTGCGTGGGGGGCAGGACGGGTGGGTGGGGTGGGGCGGCTCGCCGCAGTTACTGTGCCCCACGTGCACGTAAAAATAAAAATAAATAAAAGCGGGCGCCGGGCCCCTCTCTTAGCCCTTTCGAGAACTCAAACGGCTGTGGCGCTCTGGCAGCCCTGAGCACACCGTTAATTTAAGACTGAACTCTTTTCAGTGATCTGTCAGTATGTGAGGTTCGCGGACACGACCGTGACATGAGCGATTAAGTTAACACGACTTTCCTGTTCCACAGTGGTCAGTGCTGTCCTCCAGGACAAGGAGAGAGAGCCTTCTCTCAGTGGATGCAACCAGGTTGCAACCTCGGACTGAGTCGCTCATCCCATGGCGGATGAGTGAGAGAGATGTGTAATAAGAGGGTTGTTTGTTTATAATTAATGACCCTTGGCCTTGCGAGAGACTTTTAGCAATACCAAACAACTCTAACACTCACACATCATTTGGGGCCTGGAGACTGATCTTATATGGTGGTTTAAAGCGGGGGGGGGGGGGGGGGCACAAATTTGGGGGGGCGACTTCCCTTGCCCCTGGAAACTGATCGGCTCTATGGGGGGGTTGTTTAAAAAACCTTGGGGGGGGGGGGGGCAATTTTTTCCGGGGGGCCCCCCAACTGGGGGGCCCCAGGGCCCCCCGGGCCAACCCTACCCCCCCCCATGGTTAAAAATGGGTAAAAAGGGGGCCCCAAATCCCTTCCGGGAAAAAAAGTTATTCGACACCACGAGACAAACTGGTTGAGGCAGCGGGAAGCAAAGCGTTCGTGGCCCCATAGCCAACTCGTATTTCTAACTGAAGACGACCGCGGCAGCGGCGGCGACGACGACAACGATCGATATACCGGCGCGTTCGTGCTTTAGCCTGTTCTTTGTATCATTCGCGAGGTCCCGCCAGCGCAGCTTATCGAGCTCCGTCTTCTCGAGCTCCGCTCTTAGGGCTTGCATGGACTCATGCTGAGAGGTACGTTCTTGAGCCGCCGCGTACTGCTGAGAACGGCGAAGAAGGCCTAGTCTCGGTGCCAATGCCATATCGACTGGAACGGACCTGGTAGCACAAGAGCGGATGTATTAGAAGTGGCCGCCCACGTATGTTTAGAAGTGGGGGAATTGGGGGGCGGCTCACCTGGTGCGGGCCTGACCTGCTCCTCGTGAGACCCCGTGACTCTCGCGCTCTCGGGTGGGAGGGGGGCGCTTAAGCGGTGTCGCATGTCGGAGTTCGGCGTGGGAGTTTGTGAGAGGATCATTCCGTGTGTGATATTGGTGTAACGTCGATCGCGGTGTGGGAGCGTCGAGAAGCGACGAGAACGACCTCCTAGTCAGTGTCGGCCGGAGGCTAGTGAGGCTGGGGTGTGCAGGGGGGGTGCTGTGCTCTCTTGTGTTTGGTTGTTGGTCCAGTGCGTCGAGAGCGACCTGGAGTCGGAGAATGCCCGCGGATTTTATGTGCCTCATCCTTTGAGGGTTGCGGTTGGTATTACGCCCAGTCGACCCTGCTCTAGGGTTGTCAAACGTTAAGAGCTGAACAGTGTTGCTAGTGTTAACAGTAACAACAGAACATCAGTGGGGTTCCCCAACAACAGTAGCTAACGTTAGGCCGGCTGAACAACAATAAGGAAGGCCTGGCAGTGACCCGCGAGGATCTCCAGCGTCCAGTGCGGGTAATACCCGAAAATACCTGGAAACCCTCGGGTATTTTCGGGGTTTACCCGGGTTTTTGGCATTTTCTGCTTGCTGACCACTGAACAACAGTAACAACAGTAACAAACAGTAACAGCTTTGGCTGGGGAGAACACTTGAACAACGTTGAGGATTTCAGCCAACAATAGTGCAACTGTTAGGGCGTTCTTCGCCGTTCTTCCGCCGCATTCTTCTTTGCCGCGTCGAGCTCGGCCTGCATGGACACGCGTTCTTCCGCCACGTTCTTCGTATCAAGCTTGGCCTGCATGGACACGCGTTCTTCCGCCACGTTCTTCGTATCAAGCTTGGCCTGCATGGACACGCGTTCTTCCGCCGCGTCCTCTTTTGTAGCATCGAGTTCGGTCTGCATGGACAGACACCGATCGTCCCGTGTTTTGCAAGCGTACGACGACAGGTGCGAGTACGACGACAGGAAATACGAGGTTGCAAGCATAAAGAGGGTAAGCGTCGCGCGGAAAAGGTTTGAGGTGGTGCCGATGTCGAGAAGCATCGAGGCGAGCAGCCAGAAGGTAGCCAAGAAGGCAGCCACAGAAGAGCCAAACATGAGAGTCGGTGAGCGCACCAACGTGGACGTACGGGTTTACAAATTCCTTAGCCTTGCGCCACGCAGCGCTTGGTCGAAGAATTTTAAAACTTGGGTTGTCTGTTTTCTTTCTTTTACACTGGGCGCGGGACTGGCGCGCACTGGCACTAACACAGGTACACCTGGGAAGAATGCAGCACCATGGCGACGAACGAAGAAAGAGCAATTAATTCCTCTTCTCCGCGCCCCACCGCAAGGCGCGCGATACAAAAAAGAAATTTACCACAACGCTCCCTCGCACTGCGGGAAGAATTTTTCTTTGGCTCCCTCGCACGACACTGGGCACAAGAAAGTCCGGTCATCCCGCCACCCACACAGACTGACACAGAGCACACAGCACTCATAGGTGGATACTGTAACAGCCAACCAACAGATTCTCTGGCGATCCTAGAAACCGACACGAGCTCTCTAGTACCTTCGTGCACGAACCTGCTTCATACCAACCAGGTTCCGGGTCGTGCGGCGTGCTTAAAGAGTACCTTCTCGCACCCAGCGTGGCAGAATTGCACATGGGCCTGGTGCTGTGTGTGTGCGCTAGACGCGCACGGCAGACTCGTCGACCTCGTCTGCGGTCGGCGCCGGCGCTTCGGCGCTCCCTCCCTCGCTTGGGGCTGCGTCGCCCGCTTTGGGCTGGCGCCGACCACCGTCGGCCGGTGCCGGTGCCGGTGCGATCTCCTGCTTGGCGAGGTCGGCGGCCTCCAACGCGGCGAGCAGCTTTTGCTGCTGCGCCGAGAGGGCCTAGACAGCGAAGGCGCGAAGCAGTTCAAGAAAGCGGCGAGGTGCGTTTGCTGCTGCTGCGCCGAGATAGGCCTCTAGCTTGATCTCCATGGCCGTCATCTCCGGGGCCACGCTGCTGCCGCCACGGGTGATGCCGACCAGCTCATTATCTGTGCCTTGCGCCGACGCCTGGACGCGATCACACGCGCCGAGTCATCTCGGGTAATCTCGGCTCAACCTCGGCTCATCTCGGGCGCGATCTCGGGTCATCTCGCCTGGACGCGAGCCCACGCGCCGTGGACCAGCCGTGCGCAGAGAGCGGCAGAAGCGGAGACGGAGAGCAGTCCCGCCTGCAGGGCAATCTCGGGTCATCTCGCGGGCGATCTCGGTGATCTCGAGAGACGGAGAGCAGAGCCCCCGCCCCGAGCGGCAGCAGCATCGCGGCGATGAAGTCCCTGCCGTCGCCGCACGCAGAGGAGGCGACGACGAGGACGGTGCAAGCGGCGAGCGAGCCTGAGGAGCCCATTACCCTCTCAGTCCGACCTCGGGCGGGCCAGGACCCAAGCGCAGGCGGCATGCGCGCCCAACGCCCCGATCGCTAGTAGCCCCGCGGCGAAGCACCTGCTCACAGATGAGAGGCGTGTGTGAAGAGACGCCGTGCCCCCTCACAGGGCGAGCAAGCCCGCGGGGCGGGGCGGCGCGTCTTGAGGATGTAGTCCGCGGTGACGACGGGCGGCGGTGCAGAGTGGTGGTCCTTCCGGCCCGCGAGCAGCCGCGGGTCCGTCGCGCGGGACAGCGCGGCGCCTGTAGCAGGAGAGGCACGGGAGCCGTCACACAGACGCGAAGGGCTGGCCGCGCCGGCCGCGAGAAGGGCCGGCGCCCGCGGCGGAGAGGGCGGGGAAGAGGAAGAGGAGCGCGGCGGACACGAACCAGCTGACCTTGTCGCACAGCCAGAAGCCGCCGGCGAGCTGCGCGAGCGCGAGACCGCCAAGGACCACCATGCCGAAGGAGAAGAGGATGCTCAGCGCGGCCGACAGGTGGACGAGCAGCCGGTTGCACGCCTGAGGGGGAGCAGGACAGGACACGCCTCTCCTCACGCCGGGCAAGGGCAAGGCTGTCCCTCGCCTCTGCGTCCCAAGCCGGAGCCCCACAGCACTGAGTGCAAGGCCCGGTGCGCGTAAGGGGGGAGGGCGGTGTGGCAAAAGCCCTTGGCTTAAACAGTGGGGCGAGCTCACGACTATCTTGCAACTCGGCGGCCGCTATCTCGGCTGCATCTCGGCTGCATCTCGGAGCAAGCCTTGCGCGACTTGTACTCGGCGGCCGCTTCGACGGCGGTGGCGGCGCGCGGCGAGGCGGCGAGCGAGAGCACCGCGGCGGCGGTCGCCGCCGCGGCGCTCAGGACGAGGCCGAACCAAAAGTTGGGCAGGAGGGGCCCGCACGCGTCCTACGGCGAGGCGGCGAGGGGTACGGTGAGGCGAGCGCCTCGACACGCACACACGCTGGCGGGGGGCGCACGGCCAAGGTGCGGCCCGCGCACGTCCAAACCCACAGCTGTACAGGCAGGCAGGAGCTGGCACGGCAGCAGTCAGAGTGCAGGGCGCGCCTCTGCGGCAGGCAGGAAGTCCATCGGCGCCCAAGCGCGGTGCGCTGGTCCCCAATGGCCCCCGGCGCGTGAATGGTCCGCCACCTACGGGAGACATGCCAAGGGACGTGTCGCGGACATGTCCAGGGGAAGTCTCCCGGGCGCGGTGGTCCCTCACCCAGACGCATGCTTTGCTCGCGGAAGCCGCGATGACGCACGCGCCCGCCAAGTGCAGCCCCGCCGCGAGCGCCGCGAGCGGGCGGCCTACGGGGAAGTTCCGCGGACGAGAAGAGTCCAAGAAGGTACCCTGAAGGTTCGGCGGGGAGAGGCGGGCTCGGCCGAGCGCTGCGGCGACGCGGCGGAGCGAGCCGGCGTGCCGATCGGCGGGAGAAGCACGGGAAGCCCCGTCGACGAGGACCTAGCTCGCAGTAGCGACTCCATCCGGATCCTCGGCGATGGCGCGAGAGGCAGGCGAGATGGCGCCGAGATGCAGCCGAGGTGCAGCCGAGGTGCAGCCGAGGTGCAGCCGAGATATGGCGCCGAGATGCAGCCGAGATCCTCCGTGGGCGAGAGCGACTATCGCTTCCTTGGGCGTGGATAGCGATAGGCGCTATCAGTGAGATGGACGACGGGCGAGGGCAAGGGGCTCTCAGGCTCGCGGTACCAGGATCGAGGCGACGAGTGAGACGGCGCTGGCGGAGAGGAGCAGGGCGGGAAGCGCGTCGAGCGAGGGCACCTCCGTCCACGGGAAGGCGGGCCCGTGCTTCTTGTACTCGGGACCCCGAGGCGCTGGAGGCGCCGGAGGCGCCGGAGGCGCTGGAGGAGCGGCGGGAGGCGCCGGAGCGGCGGGAGGCGCCGGAGGGGCGGGGATATTGTACCCCCAAGGCGGGGCTGGAGGGAAGCCCACGGTGGCATCGCTTCCCGCCACCCACCAAGGGGGTGGCGAGGGTGGCGGGGAGGGCCTCACAGTCGGCGGCGAAAGCCAAGCCGGACCGTAGCCTGGCGTTGGAACGGGCGGTTGTGCTGGGCCGTACCTCTGCCACCATGGCTTCCCAGGGTGAGCCCGCGGGGGTGGTGGCGGCGAGACCTAATCAATTTGTGATGAACTCATCAACGAGTACCAACAGGCGGCGGCACTGGGTGGAGCCGGCGGCGACACCTTCGTGACCGTGACCATGTAGACGTCGTAGCTGCCGCAGTTGTTGAGGTTCCTAGGTAAGGTGAGGTAACGTGAGCTTCTCCACACACAGAAGGCGGTGGGGCAAGGGCCAGGCTATCCCTCGCGACTAGACAGGAGCCCCACGGTATTAAAAGTGCAAGGCCCAGTGTGTCCGTGTGCGTGTGTGTGTGTGGAGGGGGGGGGGTGGGGGGGGGGGTACCTGTCCGTGCCGCACTCGCTGTCGCCCTCGCAGAGTTCGCCATGGCGCAGTCCGCACACGTCGCAGTTGCCGATGTTGGGGTTGGCGGGGCAGAGTCGGACGTTGGAGACCGGCACCAGCTGCTTGACCTCGCCGCACGTCGACAGGCAGACGAGGCCGGGGGCTGGGGGCGGCGGCGGCGGGGCGCTCGGGCAGCAGCCGCCGCACTGCGGGCAGGTTTGTAGCAGAGTATGGAATGTGGCGTCGTGACATCGCGTGCCTCGCCAGAAGTTCTGGCAGTGGACGGTAAGGTCTAAGGAAGGGACTCGGCACTGCTTCTTTGCGTCGCACCGAGGAAGGAAAGGACTCGGCGACGGCGGCGGCGTGATACCGGGAGGAAATGGCGGCGGAGAGAAAGGGAGTGGCGGCGACGGACTAGGCGGCGGGGGAGGAGGGGGAGGGTCCGGCGGCGGAGGTGCCGCCGGGGGCGCATCCTTCCAGCACAGCCTCCAACCGCGACGGACAGAGCCGCTGTCGGACCTCCACTGGATCACGCCGTCCGCCGCAACGACAGGCCGACCGCCTCATGGAAATCAATCAACCAGTGAGTCAACTCGTTGAGCCACGCCGTCCGCGCCGCTGCGACACAGGCGGACCTGCGGGAACAGGAGCAGGCTTGCGCGCGAAGTACTTAGACCCGATGGTCACGCCGTCGCAGCAGCTCTCGACGTCGTAGTCTTCGAAGGTGATCGGCGTTTGACGCGGCACGTTGAAGATCTATACACGCGCGGGCGAGGGAGAGTGGGGTGTGTTTGGGGGGGGGGGGGGGGGGTCCGCACGGGCGACTGTTGGAAGGAAAAAACGGGGGGAGACTCGCCGAGAGGAGCGTGCGAGATGGGGGCGGGTGCACGGTCGTGTGAGTGAGAGTGGAAGTGAGGGAAGCGGGGGCAGGCGGCTCTCTCGCGCCGTGCAGCGCTGGTTGTTGCCGTACGCCTGTGGGGAGGTCGTCAGGAAGTGAGGTCAGTGTGTGCGTGTGTGTGTGTGTGTGTGTGCGTGTGTGTGTGCATGTGTGTGTGTGTGTGTGTGTGTGTGTGTGTGTGTGTGTGTGTGTGTGAGGGAGGGAGGGAGGGAGGGAGGGAGGGAGAGCGTGTGCCTGGTGGCTGCCGTAGTTGGGGCTGGTGGCGCAGAGCCCCCCGTCAGTGACGGAGCACGGGCCCTGCACGTGCACAGAGACGGCGTCGGCGCCTAATCTCGGGTGATCTCGGGTGATCTCGGGCAATCTCGGGTCTGGATGTGGACAGAGACGGCATCGTCGCCTATGGGAGCTGTCTCGGACATGTCATGGACGCGTCCTGGACGTGGACAGAGAGACGGCGTCGTTGCCGCCGTCGTCAAGAGAGTAGCGCTGCTCAGCGTTGGCCAGGGTGGAGAGGTACTTGGCCTGTCATTCTCGGACGATCTCGGGTGATCTCGGGTGCTCTCGGGGTGGTCTCGACGCTGGCCATGCTAGATGCACTCTTGACAGTAGGTGCGCAAACCAAGCCACCATGGCGATGCGGTGCGAGGTGAGAGACATGAGTGGCCGCCTCCTCTCGAGTGTGGGACCTGTGCCTGTCGGTGTGATGGCTCTGTGCCGTTGGCATCTAGGCCACGTGCCGTGCCGCCCACCCACGCGGCAACGACGGCGGAGAGCGCGGCGGACGCGAGGGCGAGGCCGCGGCGGCGGGCACGCACCTATGGTAGGAAACATCAAACATCTACACAGCTCTCTCTCTCTCTCTCTCTCTCTCTCTCTCTCTCTCTCTCTCTCTCTCTCTCTCTCTCTCTCTCTCTCTCTCTCTCTCTCTCTCTCCCTCGCGCCCTCACCTCTCTTTCTCCTTACCTCCCTTTCTCTCTCTCTCTCTCTC